TCTCTACCAACTGAATAACATTCTGTGGAACTTGGATGCAGAAATAGTCAAGGAAATTGGCTATGAGTAAATATACGTTAACAGTGCAATCCTATACATGTCTACTCAGAAGGAAGTCCCACTGAGTTCCCAGATAAGTGTATTGCAGCTTAAATGGGGCATTGGCCCTGGCATCTGGATTCAGTACCAAAGTCCAACAATGAAACATTATTTAACTGCTTCTTTTAAATAATTTACATCACTTTTTGTAGAATCTCTGACTGCACCTAAGGAGATCACACAGTACATTTTATATATATTAACACAGAATGAAAGTTTATTTTACCAGTACACAGCCATCAAAGCTGTCTCCAAGAGAAAAATTAGTTAAAAACACAAAAAATACAAACTCTAAGAAACATGCAAACCTATTTCTACAAACTCTAAAAGCAACAGAACAGCATTTACAGATATGCAAATAATAGTCCATAAATGAGTAGTTCAAGTCAGGGCTTGTTGTTATACTTCTACTTGCCCAAACATGTTTATTCTGCACATGATGGTTCTATGAACAAGGCTCAGCTGAATAGTGTGCAGAATGTTAGCATCATTAGAATCCTTTTTCTTAAAGTGAATCTCTCTCCGTTTTCAGCTGATCGCTTGCAAAGCTCATCCTTTTCTGTTTGCTTGCCAAGCTCTGCCAGTTAACTTGCCAGTGCCATTAAGAAATTTCAGAAAAATAAACCCAGGCTTTGGAGTGTGCAAGCTTAGGAGTGGGAACCTTTTTCAGCCCCAAGGCCACATTGCTTTGTGGACAACCTTCCAGGGGTAGTGCACAGAGATGGAGGCAAAAGTGGGGCAAGAGATGGACTCCTAGTCATTCAAAAATCAGAGGCTTTTACACACAAACAAACACAGACAGACACACCTTTGCATCCAAGCAAAGAAGACTACATTACCATAGTTTAAGGATGCTTTCTAGCCAGACCAAAGCACTGAAGGAAGGCAAGGAGTAGGGCTGGAAAGGGGTGTGGCCTGCAAAAGGGGTGTGGGCTAGGGAGAATCTTGAGGTTCAGCTAGTGAGGCATTTGACCCATGGGCCTGAGGTTCCCCATCCCTGTTCAAAAAACAACCCATCATCCTTAAACCTAAGGAATCTTATTGTCCAAAGGGATACAGTTAGCATATCTACAGGGCTACCTCAGTTGTACATTTCATTTTCATTTCTCCCTCATCTGGCACCATGAAGACTGAACTTTTATACAGCTATCAGAGTCCAAAAAAGCACGTCAAGCTGCAACTGCTATGTTTCCCACTTTTATCTCTGAATTTCCCGTTAATCTGTGCTGGCAATTATTATTTATTCACAAATAGCGCTTCATATGATATATGCCTAAGAAAGGTTCAAGACGCTCTGACACTGTCATCTGATGTTTGTTTCTTATTAGGTATATAGTAGTGAGGTATTTACTGACAGTAAATAGAGTGCTCTGTTTATTTATTTTCCATAAAAGTAAGTGGCTTCCATTGACTTCTCTCCTCTCCATCATTTATTTCTTAAACGGTGTCTATTGCTGTACCAGATGCCACACAAAATTAAGTGTTATGAGCCCACCTACAGGCTTACGATTTCATAAAGCACAATTCACAAAGAATGAAAACCAGGGAGGGCAAGAGAAGGGTTCTTCCAGACGACCTGCTTATTGAATATACATCCTGATTTGTTTGCACAAAGCTTATGCAGAGGTCAGATTATGCTTGTTCTTTACTGACCATTTGTTCTGCTTTGTTTGTGGGGAGCTTATACATCTTCCCATCACTCAGTCATTTATTCCACACTTTAAAGCACATTTCATCATCACTTGCTTAACCACAAAAGCTCCACTTTTTAAAAAAGTGGGTTTGCTGCACCAGTGCAACAGAGCACTTTAATCCAGTTTAACTGTGCAAAACTCTTTTTCCAGTATGCAACTGAATCCCTCTCATGAATGAACGATAGTCTGGAGGCAGTCTCTAGCATACTTTCTCATTGTTAGTTCCAGCCTAACAATGACCATTCATCTTGCATTCATCCTGATTTCTTTGTACGGAGTTTCTACATCTTCCGGTCGATCGTTCATTCATCCCACACTTTTCAGAGCACTTCCGCAGCACTTTCCTAAGGAAAAAAGTCCATTTAAAAATGGATTTGCTACACCAGTGTGCTTTAAATATGCAAACCTAAATTTCTTATAGGTGCTTGAATCCCTCCCACAAAATTCTGGTGGTTTGTGGGTGGCCCAAGACTGATCACAATGAAAAAGCAAAGTGGAGAGACATATTTTTGAAAGTGTCTTACATAAAGGAAGATGAGAAGCCAGCTGGATCAATGGTGCAGTGCTCTAGGAATATGGTGTGGTGGGAGGAAAACAAAGTTGAGACATCACACCAGAGACAGAAAGTTGAGAAAGATGACAAGTATTTGAAGACTGACCTAGCCAAGAAGGATGGCAAAGAGAAAGCAGAATGAGTGCTAAGAAAGCTTGGGGCATGATCTGCTCCAGATCAGAGTGGGCTCTGGGAAATGTGTCCTTCAGTGGGTACCTACCTCCATGCATGGTGAGCTTACCTGGCAATGCCAGCGGAGGTAGTCACTGTTTAAATTCCCCCAATGCCCTGGAGCGATGCTATCTCTGGGCAGCAATGGAAATTCTAATGATGCACTGTTTAGAGACTGGGCTAGGAAAGAATTAAGGTGGGTCCAGCAGGTGTCCAACAATGACATCTGCTGCCACATGAGGTAACACAGATGAAATGTTTCAAAATCCAGCCCCAAGACCAGGAAGGCATTTAAAAATGGATAGTTGAGTTCGGTCCCAAGACCAGGAAGACATAATGAATCAAATATGTTTACAGTTAACTGAGTTGATTTATGGAAGAAAGAACTATCAGCATGGAGAGAACAGGAGGAAGACAAAATTTATTGTAATCTCAACTGCCTTCCAACTGCGGCTGTAAATCTCCACCCACAGAAGACAATGGGAACCACTGAATTCCAGGAGAGAGGAGAGGAGAGTCTGGGGGAGAAGTGCTAGCAGGTCCTGTTACAGGACACAATGGATCCTAAGATCTCTGCCATACTTGATGTTCGGAGGACATGTGTACTCTGTAACAAAGACTTAATAAATTTCTAATCTGAAAAATCACTTCTGGGGTGTCCTGTCTCACAACAACAACAACAAACTGTGATTTTGCAAAAAGCCACACATATTTTATTGCAGGAAGGTTACCTCCTTTCAATTGTGTGCAAATGGGGCCATTTAGGCAACACCACTGAATTGCAGACTTAGAGGGTGGGCTGCATTAGATTTCCCCTATCAGATGATGCCTTGCTGCAACACAATCTGAATTCTATCTTCCAAACATTTTCTAGAACATTTGCATAGTTTTGGCAAGTGGCTGCATGGGTGACATTGACTGTGTTTTCTCTGTTATTATATGTGTTTCCAAATAAGGCAGGAAAACACACTCAGCAAAAAATGGTGATGATCTGAACAGTCCTCGCCCCTACCTCCAGCAACAGAAACTTTGATTTCAAATGTGCTTTGCAGTAGGATATGTAGAAATATATTTTGTTTGGGCTAGTGCTATGCCCTGAGAGAGGAGCTAAGATTTCCGGTGCTTTTTAGACCGCTCCCATCCTAGTGTTTTGCGTCAAAGGTGTGGCCATGAAGTGGAACTGACACATTTCCCTGCAGCCATGGTATGCTGTGCCACATCCAACAGAGCCACTCGTGTCAGATTGATTCCCTGGTCACAGTTTTATCAAAAGTGAGATTTCAGAAGAGGGTGATGGCAAGTGGGAAACACCACATTTTCCACGCTGTTGGCAAATTTGCACAGCTTTCAGAAGAGGCTGCATTAGCAGGAGGCCGGTAAGAGACAGAGAAAGGGACTGCTGTTCTCAGGGGTGTTTTCAGAAAGAGCAGGAAAGGGAATGTGCCTTGACGGGTGCATGGGTGTAATCTAATCCAAGCGGGAATTGTTTCCCATTGGCTCTGCACCAGCCAACATCATTAGGCCAGCCTTGAAATCAGATCCTGCCTACTAGTGACATTTTCCTTCAAGCCCTGAACTGTGAACTGCCTCTAAAACTTCCTGTCTGGAGTCCAGCTCTTATAGGATTCTGTGTCCCATTTATCTTGACCCAGACACAGAGCAAAGGCTTTTATTGGCTACTTGCTGCAAAGCAGATCAGTAGTCATTTGGGGACAGAGCAGGTGAGTGTGAACCACAACTCTTCTCCCTGCAGACACAAAATATAAAGCTAATATATTATCATGTTAATATTTGTGGGGTTTTTGTTTTGTTTTTATGCACCAGAAGAATGTCAGAAACTATAAGCAGAATCCTTAGATCCCCTTAATCCAGTCTAGGTACCCTGTATGTGCATAATCTCTAATGATGAGCAGCAGTGAGCCAAAGATCTTCCCTGGTGTAACTCCCATCCCTCCGACCCATATGTGACCCCAGGGATGAACTGCAGCCATGATATCTGGCCCGTGGCCATGCAAGCTCATGCTGTGATCTTGTAAGCTTATTAACATGGCTACACCGGTTCACTACTTAGGTCGCAGGCAAGTCTCCCCAGAGTAAAACTGAATAACTGCCTAAGTCTGTCCCCCAAGACTTCATTAGTGTTTATTAATGTCTGTTCAATTGTGATGTGTCTAGTAACACCCACACTCTTTTATGTTAGGTAGGGAAACGTGGAAGTGCCTGCTTATTAGCAACGGATGCTTGATGTTAGACAAGAAATGTTTCCGCTGTTTCCGACATCTAGGGGAAAATGTCTCTGCAGTCTGGGAACACCCCTTTCTATAGTAAATATGCAACATATGGGGGGGCTGGTAAGAGAATCTATGCATCATGCTGCTAGCTTCTCTCTATAATCAGTTTACACTGACTGCGCTCAAAGTGAAGCCATGGAGTTTGAGGGTGGACAACAGGTAAAAGGATTCTGTCAACTTCTCTTGGTAACATGACGGGGATAGCTCAGTTGGTAGAGCATAGGACTCTTAATCTCAGGGTCGAGGGTTCAAGGCCCACATTGGGCAAAAAGATTCCTGCATTGAAGGGGGTTTTGACTAGAGGGCCTTTGTGGTCTCTTCCAACTCTACAATTCTATGATTCTAAGCATAACCGGGCTTTTGAGTTCTACAAGCTTTGTTAGGCCAAATGGAAACACCACTAGCTCTTCGTCAACATAATCGCCACCACTCCTTCTAATAATGAGCTCGGGTAGAAAATGCAAACAGGACTGTAGCTTGGCAAAGCTATTGAGAAACAAGAAGGGGGCATTTGTACAGCCAGGAGAAATCTGAGGTTTGCAAAAGTGCTTTTTAATTATGAAATCTGAGGAGACAACACTGCCCCTGCCCCTGCCCTGCCCTGCTCCAAAAATCCCAGTTTGATCTGATCATGTTCAGTACTCCTAGAATGTATACAGTCAACTGGAAAAGAAAAAGGGAGCACAGGGAAAGCGAGAGGGGAATGCTATCCTTGGAGGAAATGGCTGACAGAAACCCTGAACAGGAACACTCCTTTTAGGGGAGGGAAGCACTGCAACCCCCACCCCAACTACTCTAATTTAGCTTTGTAATGCTCTAGAGTGTGCACAGTGTTGCTTAACGTAGATAGCCTCACAACTACCTTGTACAGGGTCAGGTCTGAGAGGCTCCTGGCTTGCTCCGCTGGAGCGGTTGCCGCAGAAATCTTCGTAATCTTTTGGTGCAAAAGGCTCCTCTGTTTCTTTCTCCCTTCTCTTGGTCACCCAGCAGCAATTAGGCCTCCCTGTCCCGGCTCCCCTGTCCCTTCCTTTGCTCTCCAAGGGCCTCCGAAGGCCCATCTTGCTGCCTCCTTCGCTTCCCCCTCCCTTCTTCCAGGTTGGTCATTCTTGTGAACCATCCAGCAACATCTGAATAATGTGATCTTGGGTCATCAGTCATGGTCACACCATTGCCTCCTTTTCAGGTACACCTACCATGATCACAGGTTATCTGTCTGTGTGCCACAGTGGGGCAAATCCATAGCCATCTTCTCTTGGTATAATATCCAAGGGACCAACGGGCCTTTGGGGGAAATGGGAAATTAATGATCCATTAATGTTGAAATCCATATGTCAGAGCCACTTCACGGTGTAAGGACAGCTCTGCTGTCATTGTTTTCTGTTCTTGCACAAGTGCACACCTAAGTACAGAGAATATCCCAAGGTAGTCATTGCTGATTCATTAATTTTTCATGCTCTTTTGCTAGGAAGGGCAGTCAGATATTAGACAGCATTAAAAAGCAGGACTTGAAGTGAGACTATAATAGCTAATCCTCAGCCAGAAACATTTGCTTCAGTTACAGTGACTTCAATAAATCTGCATCTGCTGAGGATCTGAAATTGGTTATGTGTGACAGTAAGCAACACAACCTCCAGTCCTTCAAAGCTGCATAAGGTTTTCTCATCATAGAGATGTATTGATCTTCCATATGTAATTTATATGTCAAAAGTGCCAGTAATGGATCTTTTTGAAGCAATCTTCTATATTCACTAAAGGGACTATTTATTGATCTGGTCATTCATTTTATTGATTTTTCACCGAACCGCCAGATGATCCCCGGTGATCACTTGTCTTCATTACATTTGGGGTTTGGAGAAAAGTTTTTTCTAGTTTACTTGCTGTCCATTACGCTAATGGAAATTATTGATATGGTCCTATTGTCTAGGAAGCGAGTTTAGGCATTTACAGATGATATAATCATGTTGCATTTCTTTGTGTTTTCTGTTATGACTGTTCTGGGATAATTAGCAGTAAATATTAGTGTTTTGAGCAGAGGTGGGAAATTAACGTAATTCATTCCAAAAGGAACTGAAAATGCCTTTCAGACAAAACAATGCATGCCAAATGCTCCGTATTCCTGATTAGTTCCTATGAATAAGAAAAATACTTAGGTAGTTTAATTTTAAAAAATCACCCCAGGAAGAATTATGCAAATCATTTGTCGTCTTCTCTAAATAGAGCTGCCAGGCCTACCCTGCAGACAGAACTGTGGCTCAGTTTTAGACATTTACTGATCTGTGCTGGAATCTTAGCACAACAGGGAAGCTGACGCATCCCCTCCTTCCACTGTGTACATAATTTCAAGTGTGGATGCTCAGCTACTGCAATTCTTCACCCACAAGAAGGAGGGGAACATCATGCAGTCTGAGTATAAGTGCAATTCTGGACTACCATATGAAAGCAGATTCTGAGAATTTCACCAAATCATTCTAACATATGGGCAAAAACTTCTTAAAGGCCACTGAAGAAGATATGCTAGAAGGCACCTCTTTTGTGAAAGGGATTCAGTTGCATACTCAAAATCATCTTGCAGGACTGATAATACCTTTGGGGAGAGGAGGGCAATTTTGACTGGAAGAATGGCATGGGAGGAAAGGGTTAAACAACCATTCAGAGCCACTGCTCACCCCCCAATGAAATGCAGAAAAAGCAAACCAAAATATGGACTACCCCATATTATATTTAGCTTGGCCATAAGGAGTTATACGTTAGGATATGTATAAACAAAGAGCTCATTCATTTCTGCAGCTTACTCTTGAGCAAACAACCCTCAGCCAGCAGATAAATGGATTGGCTACAGGAAGCCCGTTCTTGAATTTAATGTGGTTTAACACTTCCACATCTATTTCACTTGATTCTTTGGAAATCTGAATTTGTCCACATTTAGCAGAATGTTCTGTTCCCAAAGAGAGATGTTATCACCCAGTGACAAACTCATTATGAATCAGCATTCAAACTTAAGGGGCTACAGCACTGGGGAGCTTTCTGCCACAGACAAGATTCATTTACAGCACCAAATGAGCTTGACAAATTTATTTAACTGGATTCACAAAGCTCAAGTTAATTAAAAACCAGGTTGTTTTGCTCGGCAAGAGACATGCAACTAAGGGTGTTTGAGCTTTAAGAAATGTAACAAGAGGAGCAGACCTACTGATCCCATCATGCACAGGTCTAGAGCAAACACAGATTACAGCCAATTATTTTGTAAAACACAAGAGAGCAAAAAATTTCTGTTCTGTTCCCTGAAATATTGACTCCATAGAAACTATCGCATCTCATTTAATTTTTTTCAGAAGGCAAAGATGACATTGCGTTTTTGATTATTTGTTGCATAGTGAACGTTCCACATCTCCATGTCGAATGTTCCCATGACACACCCGCATACAAATAGGAAGATGTCAATAATAGGAAGCATTTATGACTCCTAAATAATATTTGCAAGCTTTTTTTTTGTAAAATAAATCAATCCCAAAGTAATCTCTCAGAAATGTTAAATAAAGTCTACAAAAGACAAATCAACATTTAATAGGAAGTATGCTTTTAGCACCAGGAACATTAATTACAGCTAAATGGGTTTTTTAAAAGGTTGTGCAACAGAATATGTTGCTATATTGGAGAAGGGCTGCATTGCAGCTCAGTGGCAGAATATCTCTTTGCATGCAAAAGTCCCAGGTTCAATCCCTAGCATCTCTAGGTAGGGCTGGCAACATCCCTTGCGCGAAACGCTCAAGAGTCGTTGCCATTCAATGGAGGCAATACTGAGCCAGAGGAACCAACCATCTGACTCAGTATGGCCCCATCTGCACTATATATTTAAAGTACAGTGGTACCTCGGGTTACATACACTTCAGATTACATACGCTTCAGGTTACAGACTCCGCTAACCCAGAAATAGTGCTTCAGGTTAAGAACTTTGCTTCAGGATGAGAACAGAAATCACGCTCTGGCGGCACGGTGGCAGCAGGAGGCCTCATTAGCTAAAGTGGTGCTTCAGGTTAAGAACAGTTTCAGGTTAAGAATGGACCTCCAGAACGAAGGTAGCTGAGAGTTGTTAGGAGAGATGCAGGCTTGTCGTGGGAAGCCGAATTAATTGTTAAACCACTTTGGGCATTGTAGATCTCTGATGGGAATAGGGGTTTTCAGCACCCTAAAAAACTATACTTCCCAGAATTCTTTTTTTGGGGGGGCGGGGAGTCATGACTCTAAAGTGTTACACTACTGCTTTAAATGTGCCATGCGGGTGTGGCCTCCAAGGCAACTTCCTGTGTTCCCTATGTTGTGCTGTATAGCCAATGAAATTTAAAGGCTCTGCACAAAACAGAGATGATTTGTCAGGTAGTGTGCTGTCCAATGTTAGTCATCCAGTACACCCACTGAAATCAATATACTGTATTTTTTGCTCTATAAGACTCACTTTTCCCTCCTAAAAAGTAAGGGGAAATGTGTGTGCGTCTTATGGAGCGAATGCAGGCTGCACAGCTATCCCAGAAGCCAGAACAGCAAGAGGGATTGCTGCTTTCGCTGCGCAGCGATCCCTCTTGCTGTTCTGGCTTCTGGGATTCAGAATATTTTTTTTCTTGTTTTCCTCCTCCAAAAACTAGGTGCGTCTTGTGATCTGGTGCGTCTTATAGAGCGAAAAATACGGAACTTCAGTTGGTCTGTGAGTATGACAGCTGGATATCACCCACTGGTAACTATAATGCAACTGGAATTACAAGCCTTTCAATTGATAAGTATTTATTTAATTTATTTTAATTTAATTTAATTTATTTTATTTATATACAGTGGTAACCTCTGGATACGTACACCTCTGGTTGCGTATCCTTCAAGATGTGAACGTGGCAAACACGGAAGTATTTTTCCGGGTCTCGCCCCACGCGCATGCGCAGAAGCGGCACCTCCGGTTGCGAATTCCTCGGGATCCAACCGGAGCTCTGGAACGGATTCCGTGTGCAACCGGAGATACCACTATATTCAGTTTCTATACTGCCCGTCATCCAAGGATCACTGAGCGGTAAATACATAACATAGTTAAACAAAAACAATACAGTGGTGCCCCGCAAGACGAATGCCTCGCAAGACGGAAAACCCGCTAGACGAAAGGGTTTTCCGTTTTTGAGTTGCTTCGCAGGACGAATTTCCCTATGGGCTTGCTTCGCAAGACGAAAATGTCTTGCGAGTCTTGAGATTTTTTTCCCCGCTTTCCCCCCCTTTATCTAAGCCGCTAAGCC